CATCTGCGTTGTTGGCTACGCTTTCCACCGTGCGGTTAGCTCCAAGCATAGAGGTGGGAACCGGGAGGGCTAGCCGGTACAAGACTCAAAGGAGACCGGCCTGCGCGCGCGTGGTCCGCGGAGCGGTTGAAAGTTCGGCTGTTGTCGCCAGGGGATAAGCTTCTTCGCCTTTTGAAAGTGCCTGGAACATGTTCAACAAGCACAAACGACTAAATAGTTCTTTCCCTGTCCCATTGGTGCTCGGTGCTGGACTGGGCTGTGTGCAGGCCCTCGTGTGTAATTTCTCGTACAAGCGGATGCGTACCTATGTAGGCCCAGGGTGCATGTGGATCCCTGTTAGGTTATGGCATGTCGTGGTTGTCACCGTGGGGTTCCTCGAAGACTGAACTGACGCCCCATTGGCAGAACAAGATGAGTTCTACTGAGGGGTCGGCGTTATTGGTGAACAATACACTAGAAATCTTGAGGGCACATTCGCGAAAGAGTTCGTTCGAAGAGCTGGGTAACAATAAAAATGTTCACAATTCTCTTTCGGTTTGATGGAGACTGCATGCTGTTCCCGCTCTTTGGAGGAACAGGCAAGGGCATGTGGGATAGGTGCACGGTATCTAGTGTGCATGTATACTGGGTTGTTGGTGTACATCTTGATCTGTCTTGTATCGAAAGCTGCCGTGACCGCGAGCTGAGGCTCTTTGCTTTCAGCGACATTTTGGGTACCGGTAAACTACAAGACGTTGTGGCAGTCCATTTTGTTCTTGCAGCTTGGGGGCTCCATGAACTTGGGGGTTCTGTCGGAAGTTGTGACTGCTCCAACCGCTTCTTTGCGAAGGACTTCGATTTGTCGGGTCTTTTGAGCTACGGTTGATTTCCGAGAGTGCGTGGCAAGGCGGCAGGTTTGCGCGTCCCAATTGGACGTTCCGTACGAAACTGCCCTGGACGAAAATTCGGCCATCCCGCACTTTTGTGGGGGTACGTAATCGTTGTTGGACCAAGACAAGGCACATCCGTAGATAGGCGCGGTTCTTAAAACGAACCAGCTTCGGACCTGATTTGACTCCCTTCCGGATCTACTGCTTTTGCATCAACATCGGACAGCCGAAATGCGCCCGGTATATTTGAAAGACATGTCTGGATCCCCTTGTGGCTGAAGTGTACCAGAGGTGTTCTAGAATCGTTCGCGCCGCCGCCAACGGCTTAACGGTTTATGGTGTGATCCCCACCACCAATGTGAGCGGCTGTTCCGCCATCACAACCCGCGGACACGTGATAACCCAGTGCTGCGATATAATCCCTTCCACCTTGCAAGCGTTTTCCAGGATTCCAGGGGGTGTTCCCTCAGTATTTGACAATTTGCAGTGCATTTATATTATAGTACACACCGAAGTGTCATCTACCGCCGCACGCCGCAAGCAATCCCAAGTCATTTTCTGGCAGACTATTCCTTCAGCACAATTAAACGAAATTTCGCGACAAAAACATCGACGCTCGTGAATAATCCTATCCTGGTTGTGATAGGCAACCTACCCGGCCGAACACACGATGAGGGAGAGACGTATCGAGCAGAAACCCTTCCCCAGACGGCAAACAAGAACTACATCTCCAAGGAGATACCTGCCGCCTGCGTACAACGAACTGCGCTACTACTCTAGTTTCTACAAGCCATCCATCCACGCGTGAGGATCCGTTCGTTCTTTCGCGTGTGGACAACTGCCGCGACGGTTTCCTAACCTATTGTGCCATCAAAGAGGACTACAAAAATTCGAATCTGAACCAAACACAGTTTTCCTAACCTGTCATGCTACCGAGCAGAATTACAACATTACGAGATATGCACTTGGCAAAAAACAATGGAACGCAACACACCGTCCAAATGAATTCACAAATGATCAAGCGCCAAGGGGCTTTTTAAAGGCGTCAATTCGCCGTTGCGGGACCCCACTTGCGTCGTCCTACCCTTGAACTTCACCGAGTGCACGTCCAAGAGAAACCCCCCGGGTGCTGTTGTACGGATCTGTGTGCGTGTGCTGCGCTTCACACTCCCCATGGTCCAAGGGCTACTTGCTACAGCAGAAATTGTCGATGCCGTTTTCACCGGCACCACTTGCTCATCAAGTAGCCCCAAAGAACCGCCACAACGTTCGACACCAGCACCCGCAGGTCTGCCGGGATGAAGGCGAAGTTCACGAAGCTGACCCACGGCCAGAGCCTGAAGTTGTTCATCATCATCACCACGTATCTGCTGGTCACCTGCGTGGGCCGACCAGAGGCGCACGGAAATCAATCGCCGCGCAACCCAACGCAGGGGGGGGGTACTCGGTGAAGTGTGAAGTGTAGCATCCCGATGTAAGACACACATTGACCGTCGTCTCCGCCAAGCCAGGATGTGTGTGTTGTGTGTGTGTTTTCGTCCTGTTTATTATGGCGACCGTCCCCCCGTTTTTCGTGGTGAGACGTGTACTACACTTTTTAGCGTATGTAGAGTACTACACTTTTCAGTGTATTTTTTCGTACAACTGCAACCATTCAGGGTCACACAGGAGGAAATAAACACCAGGGCTTTTTTCTTTTTTATATTTCTTTTCATGGCCCACGTTCCTCCTGCGGTGCGCGCTGAATTTTATTTTTATCGCGAGAAGGGTCCAGCCGTCCCTTTCCCTCGTCAACGGTGCCAACGTCGAAGTTTGGTACTCACGAGAGCTTGTCAGCTATAGTTCGCTTTCACCCGCACATTTCGTAACTTTATTACCCCATGGGGATTCGAACTCACGACCTCTGCGACTAGCGCATTTCGGGGATACCGCCAGACCACCGGGGCGACCGGGCTAGAGCTGGGTGTCCGCCCCAACAGCGCAAGTGCGAGCTGTGCCGCGAGGTGTTCGGCAAGTCTCATGGTCGGCGGGAGAGGAGTTGTCAGGTCGGAAAGTAGCAAGACTTTCGTCTTCGAACACGCGTGTAAATACTTTGGATTTAGAACGGTTGGCCTCAGAGGGGTCGGCGACATTCAGTAGTGTCGACCATCAAGGTACAACATACCAGTATTCGATTGTTCCTCATAAGGAAATGTGAAACGCGAGCGTCGATACCATACACCCCCCAGCGGTTTACAGAGAGGTCGCCGAGGACGATCGTCTGGGCTCAGCGCCGTTGGAGACACGATGCCCGCGCGAGAACACGCCTTGAAGGAATCAAGGAACAGAAACGCAGCAGCGTTCTGCAGCTGGCCAGGCCAACACGACCGAAGACGTGGCACACGTCAGAGCGGACTAATCCGGCGGAGCAACACCCATGTGCTGGAAATCCGCGTTACTTTGTTCTGCCGGTTGGCTCCAAAAAAGAACGAAATATGAATGCATGGAATAACATCGCACCTTCTCTACAATAGCCGAACCCAGCTCCGGAAGCGGGAACGCTCTCCCTGTGAGACCGGCCAAAAAGACCGCGTGGCAAGCAAAGTAGCCGCTATTCACGAGAGAGGCACCGATAGTCTGGTCCAGCACCACCTGCAACACAATACGCCCCCACTTGCTCTTTATCCTGGACGTGATCGCCTCAGAGTTACCTATCCTGCGAGGGGCAACGTGGGACATGGGAGGGGCAAAAAAAACTCGAGTGGCAGGATTTCTCTCGCGCGGAGGAGGTCGGGAGAGGGGTGGTGCATTGAGCGTCCGCGGCGTAATCTGACAATCCCCGTGTACACGTGCTTCAAAACAAAAACAAAAACTGATCGTTTGCCGTACTCAACTGGAGCACCGTGTGTGCAAGTTCCGAGTGATCCGCTCCACCGCTTCATTCATTTCTTTGGGCCACATAAACGAGCGCGGGTCAAACCACCGAAACGAAAAAACAGGAAAATCTTCCCCGCTGTCCAAGGTTTCAATAGGTAGGCGTTGGAATCAATCCAACAACAGTGAGTCGCGCAGGAGCGTGCGTCCCTAAGGAGTTAGGGTTTCCCGCAGGTGGGTTCTGGGCTGACCCGACGTGCGCTATAGCCCAACGACCCGTCTTCTGCAGTAGAGCACGTACGAAACGGCAAAGCGTTTCGAAATCCTTAATGCTCACGATCAAGCACGGGAGTGCGCGCGTGTATGTGTGCGCGCGCGTTCTCGATTCTGGGGCGCCAGTCTGACGCTTTTCGGAACATGTTTGACTCCCGAGCCGGGGCTTCACAAGAGGAAGGAAAACACAGGATTTTGTTTTCTTCTTGTTCTCCATGTTCCCCCCTGCAGTGCCTGCTTTCAACTGCTAACGTGGGTGAAGGGTTCACCATTTCCTTCCGCCGCTGTCGTGTACAATCTGTGAAAGCTCGCTGCAGTACAATACGCTTTCTGGCTAAAAACACGCCGGCTTTTCTCTTGGGAGTATCGCAGGACCTGTGCCTGTTGGCTACAGAATGACATCAGCAGCAGCAGTGCCTGGTGGCTGAAATCTACAGGAGTAGAGTTGAGTGAGGAGGGATTTGAATATGAGTTGACCGCATCGCCTCTATCAAGACCTTGTATTGTGCGCGTAGGTTGCCAAACATGTATCCATTTCGAGGTGCCAAGCAATAAGGAACATGTAGATGTCCTTCACGAAAGGAATAGGCAAAAAAACATATCGCCGAATTGCGAGAGGCATGGCCTTTCGCGTATCCTCTTGCACAGTTTTAATTATATTCGTAAATTCCCTCCTTGTGTACTGTATCCCGTGACCACAGTATATCGCGTGTGTGCCATGGAAGAGTAGCGAAGTTCAGAGGACAGGACAGATTAGATCACCACCATGACAACAACAGTCACACCAACTCGTCAACAATGTTGAAGTAGCCAAATATATCATGGTGCACATATATTCGCATGGTGTGTCGCGTTGCAGCACCTAAGGCGTTTGGGTTTGCCAATAGACCAAATCGCGGCTCACCTCTCGAGGAAGCCGTACCAGTGGTGCAGGACCGTCCCGATGAAGATCGCGCCGACGAGAGTGAACGCGGTCCAATCCACCAAGCTCTGCCATTGGCCGCCACGAACAACACACCCAAAAGAACAGGAACGGGGGACACGTGTCACCCAGCGACCGTGCCTTTCGCGCATCTCTCTCCGGCAAATCAGATAGCGATACCCAACATAGGCATCACGCTTCATAGGTGCACCCGAAGTTCAACAACACGAATGCAGCGTCCCCAACACTCACGAAAGCGGCCGGGCTGAGGGTTTGCTCGATCAGGTTGGCCGTGCCCGAGATGACCCCGGATGACAGGGACTTGGTCAGCAGCGGTCTATTTTCGAGGGCATGGAGGTACCGCCCCCACACCTTAGAAACCCCCCGTCCGTTGATTTTGCCCGCATCCTCAACGCTGCCGCCGCTATTGCCGCCAGCTTGGAACCGTGATGCGTCGGCGGGTAGGGCTGCCGTGTGGTGCACACCAAGATGGATAGAATGGCGGGAACGTCGACCACGGTAGAAGTAGACAAGGGACAACAGGAAACTCAATCTCATGTAAGCATGAGAACCGAGACGGCCATGCGGTCAACAGTGGCATGACAATACGCTCTACAGATATCGAAACCAAGCAATGGAAGTTGCGGGATGTGTAGGTTTTCGATCTTTGAGGGTGATCAAGATTCCCACCCTTGTACTCGCTAGAGTATGGTCTTCAGACAGGTGTGCAAAGAATGAAGCGCCAAGTCTCCGTCTGGAGCCAGCACTCTAGTCCTGGTCTAAATTGTCGGCCCTCGACAACAAAAAACAAGAAAAATTGTGGGCTGGTCGACAGCCGTCTACACAACTCAAGGCACCTGCACGACTCGCTTCGCCTGCCCTCCTTGTAATGTGTGTGCGACAGCTGCTGTGTGTATATACTGTGTGGGCTGCTGGTGTTACAAAACGAGGCCACGCATATATGCATGCACGGGTGGTACATGTCAGGCCACTCCCCTGGGCAACCAACCATGTGCCTAACCACTCAAAAGCGGTTTGTAGAGGGACAAGAAGGGGGGGGGGGGGGGGGG